ACACACACACACACACACACACACACAGAGGAATATTATTCAGCCAAAAAACAGAGAAAAATACTTGCCATTTGCAACAACATGGGTGGTCCTTGCTTTGTCCTAAGTGAAATAAGTCAGACAGACAGAAAAATAGGGTATGATCTCACTTACATGTGGAAAAACAAACAAACAAAAGACAAACAAAAACCCCCTCAAACTCATAGGTACAGAGAACAGATTGGTGGTTGACAGAGATGGAGGGGGGTGGGTAAAATGGATGAAGGTGGTCAAAAGATAAAAACTTCCAGTTATAAAATTAAAAAGTCCTGGGGACGTAATGTACAACATGACTAGAGTTAAAAATACAGTATTGTATATTTAAAAGTTGCTAAGAGAGCAGATCTTAAAAGTTCTCATCACAAGAAAAAAATTTTTGTAACTGTGGTGATGAATGTTAACTAGATTTATGGTGGTGATCATTTTGTTATACATACATATGAGCATATCGAATCATTATGTTGTACATCTGAAACTAATATAATGTTATGTGTCAATTATTTCTCATATTTCTCAATAAAAAATATTTCTCAATAAAAAATAAAACAAAATAGAAGTTATTTTACTGCCTAGTATGCTTTTCTGATATTACTGGAAAAAAAAGATATCTCTTATAAATAGCAGCGATTCTAGATTATTCCTGAATCACATTCACAACAAATACAGATAACACACTCATTGATGATCTTCGGATCGTCTCCAGGTTTCAATTTCTTCCTTTGTGAAGCAGAAGTATCTGTTAATTGCTAAAGTATCTTCTGGCTGTAAAAGTCTAGGATTCCATAGTTTTTGTTAAAAGTTAAAGGTCTAGTTTTGAGAAAGTGGTTAGCTGAATATTAAAGAGGTATTAATGAAATAATTGGGTGCTTATAAATGACAAATCTCTATAGTTCTGCTATCATTTTCTATCACGGTCAGACTATGTCCAAAGCTAAATATTTGCTTCTTGACAGTTTATAATTCCACTCTGTCCTGAAAATATATGTACTGCATTTACAGTCCATCTTTATTCTACTATCCTCATGCTATTTTCTGTTCCTTCCCTCGTATTATAAAATCCAATTATGTTTGGGAGCAAGGATTAAAAATGATATCCATTACAAATTCATAATACGTTGTAGTTTTCGATCCCTTGAGCATGATTCATTTTATTTAGTGCTTTTTACCCTCTGCCCTAGTTAGAACCAAAATGAAAACTCCTTCCTGGTTTTAGATTTAGTTTCCTTTCTGTTCCTGCTGTCACTGCCCTGGCCCAGGCTCATGCTTGGCCTTCACCTTGGCAACTCCAAGAGCCTCCTTTTCAGCTGGTCTCATTGCCTCAAGGTCCTTTCCCTTCAAGCATCCTGTAAATGCAGCTGTATTAATTTTTTTAAAGCAGAACTTTGGTTGTGTCTTTTCTCCACTAAAGCTCTTTCTTGGCCACTCACTGTTTACCTTAGTCCTGTCTGCCGTTCAGGCCTCCATGATTTTCTCTCCAACTACTTCTTGCTCTTCTTACTGTATACCTGGGGGGTGCCCTGCTTTCCAGCTAAATTACTTGTTAACGTGTAAATGCAATCTGAATTTTTTCATCTCCTTTATCTTACTATTGCCTCTAACAAGACAAATAAATGAAGAAAAGAATAATAACTGGTTATAATTTCTATGTATAAGTCACAATTCTTTTCAGATATTCTAGAGTGTACATTTGCCACTAAACCTAAGTCACGTTCATAAGACTCTTACTTAAGGAGGCATACTTATACATGTAACCAAAAGTCCAGCACTATCATTTCATATTACTATATATAAAATTTATTATTTCGCTGCTGAGATAGGATTCCCTTTCAATTGCCAAAGTACATGAGGCCAGCTGGCAGGATTAGTCCAGGAAAAAAAAAACCACCATGTTGAACTCCCAAGCAACAGAAACAAATGAAACCTAATTTGCTGACCTGTGTTGTGTATTTTGGTTCATTCATCAGTGTAACACAGTAAAAACAACTTTAAAGTAGATATCAAGAGACCTGGAATGTAGTCCGATTTCTGCCATGACCAGACATATAACTTTCAGGAAATCATACAACTTTTCTCGTCCTCATTTTTTTTTTTCATTTACAAAATAGAAATCTGTCTTGCTTTACTCAAACAGTACACATGCATAAGGAATGATTTTTATTTTATTTGCCATTCCCTACAACACAACCTCTTTTCTCTATCTATTTGCTTTTCAATTCTCTATTATCCCCAAAGCTTTTATAGACTCCATAATTCCATTTCAATGCCACCGAGAGTCCAAGAGAAATTAGCAAACACCACATATCACAAACGATGTTCAAATATATTGCTTTTTATGACACTGATTAGGTCATCTCTTAGGCCTTTTTTAGCTTTAAAATAGTAAGATTCTCTATTCAAATTTATATCTGAAATTCATATACCTCTTGTATGTAAAGAAAACTTCAGGTATATAAACATTATCACCATCCTCCTATCTGAGAAGTGCTTGGACATGCCAAAATTGCCATGTCTCTCAATCCTAGATCTCGGGAAGGTTTAGTATTTCTGTCTCCCTCTCGTGGACATAGAACTTTGCAGGACATCGCACATCTCTTGTAATTCACACTACAGTTATTCCTTTTACGTCTAAATATAGATTTAGGTTTTAAATAAACATGTGCATTTGAAACAACAAATACTGAAACACATTTTATGTTAATTCTTATACTGCTAGTTGTGATATTAGAGATTCTGAAGACAGAAAACTTTCCACCATTGTCTTCTTGGGAGGGAGAGGCAAAGATTGTCAAAATGTCTACTTTGTGAAATTTAAATGTACATGGTCAAGTATAGCACTTAGGAAAATACAGAAACTGCTTGCTCCCAAACCGGGCTGGTCATCCTAATCCAAAGAGTGGAATTTAAAATCAAGACAGCAAACATATTAACTCTTCTTCACCTTACTAATGCCTCCCCAAAGCAGACATTGATTCGTTGATACCAGACATCAAACTTCTTTGCTCTCCCTGTTTTAAATGTTTACCTGCCAGAAATCTGACCTAGTGGACACTGCCATCACTTTCTCTACAGTTTGTCTGAATTTTTAACAAAATTACAGTTATAGTAAAGAAACAAGGAGTTCTCCTACAGTTTACTTGGATATTTTAGAGCCAATCAACCACACACCTGAGTGATTCTGAAGCTCTAAGCAAATGAAAATGGATGCCTCCAAATTCACACACACACACACACACACACACACACACACACACACACAAACACATTTCAGGGAAAACCAAGATAGAAGCAATTTCAGAGTCTCGTCCGAAGGTGATATACAATATTCAAGAATTTTTATTCTTCCACAGTCAAGTGAGACCCAAGGAAAGAAATAAAAATTCTAGCTGACTTTCCCTTAACACAAAATACAATGCTCATAGTTTTAAATGAAATTAAACCTCCACTTTCAAATGTATCATTATAAACTCTGGAAAAAGTAACACTGAGAGACAGACAGCAGGGCTCTCTTTACGCAAAGACCCTGAAACCCTGGGGAAAAATAGAATGACAAGAAGCCAGCACTTACTTGACATAAGCCGCTGATGCACATATCCAAAGATTCAGTGTAGCAACGAGTCCCATCTAAGACCTTGGGTGACAGTTCAACAACCAGGGCTGTTCCTTTGGCCTGGCACTTGAGCGAGCATGGGTTGTCGGGGTCGTTCGACACAGGAAGCCACTCATAGAACTGGCCGTGGTGCTTGACATCATTATGAGCAGAGCACTGCTGAGCTCGGAAATCACCTGCTTCTGGCGGGCAGTCCTGGAGAAGAAGTGTGGGGGGGGGACACACACAGGTTAAGAGGGCAGTCCCAAGCAGTAACCTGGAGCAGGAGGTCTGTGGTCTGTCAGATCTTAGAAAACAAAGCAGATATTCAGGTCATTACAGATGGATCCTCCCATATCATCTGAGAGATCATATGATTATTTGATCCTCGAAATGTAGAGATTTCAGAAAGTAACCACTGTGAAATATACTTTCTGACAGAAGTTAAATGGGAAAGAAGCCAAGATGAAATAGATCTGACTAATATTAGTTGGGAAAATAACCAACTTGAAATATATTTTCTGAAAGTTGTTGACTGAAGGGTCCATGGATTCCTCCACAGTGTAACATCATTTTGATTTCCTAGTAACTTTCGTAGAACTTACTAAAGTCAGAAGGCTAGGTGAAAGCATCTCTGTTGCTATCAAGAGCTATGACAATATTTTAGCAAACAGCAGCAAAGTTATGATAATTTCATTCAAAACTTTTTTTTGTGTGTGGGGTTGTTTGTGATTTTTTTTCCACAGGGAATAAACATGAGAAAACAGCATTTAGACATGAATTTCTTTAGCTGAAGGCAGCATGGCAGAGTGAAAAGGTATGAACTTCCTCCTCAGATGGGAGTGTAGCTGCATAATAGCAGGTCTCTCAGAGCCAAGGTCTCCTTATGGTTAGAACAGAGACAATAATAATACTCAGCTCTCAAGGTCATTCCCTGTGAGAACGTCAAGAGCTTATGTCGACCAAATACAGGCACCAGAGGACAGTACATAAGAGCTAATACTGTGATTATTTAATGACGCCACCGAAGAGAAGAGTTGGAGCATTAGGAGAGTCTCTGAATTTGAATTTTAAAGAATGTTGACAGAGACCAGCGGGAAAATAAAAATGTTTTAAGCACATATTTTATAAAGGGTGTTTTCAAATGTAAAACTAGAATTAACAATGGCTATTACCTAGTGAATGATAAACTTCAGTGAAAGCATGTAAGATTTAACTTTAAAAAGGTAAATATCACCTATCCCTTGTACAGGACTTTTGATAGGTCTATTTTACTCTGTATGTGTTCAGATTAGCATATACTATATAGACTATCCATCTGTGGACAGGCTTTTAAAAATAATTTATACCTCAAATAAGGAATTTCCATGTGGTCTTTAGCAGTTCCTGGTTACTACATTATCATTTTTTTTTAGAGCTCTCTTATAAAAGTTTTCATTCTCTGAAAATCTCTTTATATTTAAATAAGCATTCCGAGACGAGCATTACTCTATTTTATAAAATGGAATTTCTGACTCCTTTCTCAAATTTTAGTGGCATTATTAAGTAGCAAATAAGGCTCTAATATTTGGGGAAGCACGTATTTTCTTGGCAAGATGGGGTATACAAATTAATTACTTATTTAGGATGAACATAAATAGTTCAAAATATAATATAAACTCTCAAAGGAATTTTATTGTTAGTATTCTATATGTTCTCAGAGTTCCTAAAACATAGTACTGAAGGAAATGAATAATTTATATCACACAGGTATACGTATATAGGTACCCAACAAGGCTTAAGTGATTTTGAATATTGTCTGAAAAAAGTATAATTAAATTCATTACTTACTAATTTGTTAAATGATAGGCTACAGTTTAAAAAATTTTTAAAAGATAATAAATGTGTGTTATACTTTGTTGTGATATTTACTTTTTTTGTTGCGCAAAATAAAACAAAACCACATTTTGCAAAACTATGCTATGAATCACAAAACTGGTAAATTACATGGCAGGTTACCCAAACTATCTAAACTGGGATGTTTTAATACCAGCAAATTTCAGACTATGTGTTCCAAGACAAGAGTACAAACCCATTTAATATTAACTCTTCATGGACTTATGTTCCAAAGACAAGATTGCAAATTTCCTAGACGACAAATCCTACCAGTCTCTGCCTAGACCTCACTTACTAACTTCTGTCCTAAAATAACCCTACGATTTACCACAGCTCCAAAACTCTATCTATACTGTTCCAGAAATTCCCCCACCAGAGACATGACATAAAGGTGCTGCTCTCCCTTGATTATCAAATTTAATAAAACCAGTTTATACAAGCAACAAGTTTCCTTGGTGGCCATTACATGGAAGCACCCACTGTTGAAATGAGAGTTTAATTAATAATGTTTAAATAAAGTGTTTTCAGGTGCATATTACCTGTCATCCCAAGAGTCACTTGATTAGTCAATAGTACAGAAGAAATACTGAAGTGGGTTCAGCAAAGCAGAGCGTTGAGGAAATTGTTTAGAATGATCTCAACTTCCTCTCAAAATTACCTTTACCTTCTTACTCTATAAATAAAAGTGAACCTGATACAGGGAGTTCCAGGATCAGGCTGATCCACCTCAGCATTAAAGTAATAAGGGTAATGTATAATTAAGAGACCTCTTAGGATGAAACAGAGATAATTTTCTGCATTTATCCAATTCCAAGAGAGTGTTAATTAGATTTTAACTTGATGTTTCAGCATCTTAGTGTAGACATAAAACTCCTACAGAGTCTCTTATGAGTCCCTTCTGTTCAACAAAATGTGTTGAGTCTTCCCATCTTTACTAAGATAAATAAGGCACAAAGGTAAAATTAGTAAAAAAATGAAGTTAAAATATTAGGACTTATGGGTTTTCTTTTCTATGACAACAGCAGTAAACTTATTTAGACGCATCATCGAGAATCAAGAAGCAGGCAGATATTCCTGTTCAAAATTTACCTGTATGTAATGGCTGCAAGAGCACCTGTTACAGGTTTTATGAACTTCCACAATGGGAGAAATATCTCTGAGAATAGTAATTTTTGTGAATACTTTTACTCACTTTTATCATGACTGTCTTTCCTTCTACCCATTATTGTAGGGGTGGGAAACTATATTTTGCTAAATCGAGAATGAGCCTAAAACCTGGAGTTGGAAACTGAACTCTAATCTTTTTAATGTTTGAGTTTATTTGTACTTGGCAAAATGCAACTTCCTGTTTTAAGCAAAAGGAGTTAAGACAACTTATAAAACAGGTTCAGAAAGCTTCTTGGACATCAAATAGCTCTTACAAAATAACATTTTGATGATTTAAGTGTAAATGAATTAGAAACATATGAATCAAATTTCCCTTGAAATACACATGTTTACAAATTAAGGAAAGAGGGATTTGGCAAAAGTTTCTTTTGTTGAACCCAAAACATCTCAAGCATAGTTCAAGACACTCACTGAACTCCTGGTGCATCTGGGATCACCCAGCTGCAGGAGTGGAAACTCAAGCAAAGTCATCATAGACCCTCGTACGACACATATCACCATCATAACTACAACAGAATAACCCTCATTTGCATAGAGATTCATCATGTTCAAAGTTTTTCATTGTAATTTGGTCCATGAAACCATTATAATTCCTGGTCTTCCTAAAAGTCAGATTCAGAAACTGATGTCCTAACTGCTTTGAAAAATATTTGACATCTTATGCTGGGCATGATCTTTGAAATATCAGCTTCTGGAGAGACGCTTTATGATACCATGTCATCAGTTCTGACTATGAGAGTGGTTTTCCTTAAGGTATATACTGAATGTAGAGTGTACTAAATAGATACAATGTGAGATTTCTACTCTCATAAAACCATAGTGGTAGGAATCGTGAGTTTCCAATTGGGATATTTAAAACAAAGAAGAAGACAAATTATTATTTATATAGTTATGCACTGATGTTGGCTCATAGGTGGTAACGATGAAGACAAAAATCACTGAAAAATCTAGTGGCATTTGAACCAAGAACCTGGCCAAAAACATGATGTGGGAAGAATGCACCGGACCAACGAACCCTTACTTCCAGCCTTTCAGATATCTGCAGAAACACCACCCAACAGGAATAAAGCAAAAGAGAGCAAAATAATGTATTTCTTGGTGTTCTATCTATTTCTAACTAACTGTAGTTCATCTGTGGACTGACAACTCTGCATCAGGCTACTTACTGAGCTAGGACTTTCTCATTCTGAAAAGATACATTTTATTTAAAACAGTCAGATGGTCCTATGAATTACTGTATTTAGCCGTTTAACATAATATGATTTTTCTATCCAATTTTTAAGTACTCTCTCTTAACCGTGTCAGTTTTCTTCTTTAAAAACACACAAAATAAAATCTGACCTTTTATATGCTCCCATTATAATTCATAAAGTCCGTGGAGTCCTGCCATCTATGAATCCAGTTCAAAACATTTTCTGGTTAATCAACTAGCCAGTGGGAAAGATAAGATGGATCCCAGATGGCCTCTGATGATGATAGGTGGATCAGATTACATTATGGGACAAAAGAGGGTCAGGCTTCCCAGAGTTGACTCACTGGGTGAACTGTAAAAGATGATATCTCAGCAGCTAAGGTGGCAGCATCTGAAAGGCCTTTAAAATGGTTTTGAAAAGATATGCAGAATATAAATTCAGGGTCAGGAGAAACATGACTTTTCCTTTATTATTTCGCTTTCTAAAGAAGACATTCTCCTTCCTGAGGGACGTCCCTCCGCTTTACCTTTCTCCTTAAGTATTCAGTGGTTGTCTTTTTCTGCTAATTTTGCTGTTTTACTGAAATTATTATGAGTGCCTTGATATAAATGCATTATTCTGATTCTATGGCTTTATTCAAAGAGTCACTATTAAAACCTGATAGTATTAAGAAAACACTGGGAATTATAGTTAAGTGACCACAGGTACTGTAGTAACTAAAAAATCTATCCTTCTCACTGCACTTCCCTGTCTTGAACTGTTCTTTTAAATTCTGCATCTCTCCTCTATCCGCCATAATCACACCCCTTCTATAAAAGTTACTGTGCAAGAGCACAAAATTAGAATTGTCTAGTAAAGCATCTATTCTATCCTCCAGCAATGTTGGATTGCTACTTTATCATGTAAACATATATAGAAATTTATTAGCTACTTGGTAACCTTGGAAAATCTTATTAGTTTTAAGTATTACTCTTAAAATAT